TGATGTGCAGTCTTCACTTCTCCAAATGCCAATATAAGTATAAAGTTTTTCCCGGTTTTTCATAATATAGTCATTTTTCCAAATCTTTGATTGAGATCGTTCAAAGTTTTTCCAGGTTTTTCATAATATAGTCATTTTTCCAAATCTTTGATTGAGATCGTTCTCTTCTATGGCTTGCTAATAAGTATAAAGAAGACTGCATCGGAAATGCCAACACAGAGACGACACAGATGATCCAAGGGCAATAAAGCTGATGTGACGAGTGGACTAAATCCCTGACCCTGTTTAATACACTAAAAACTAAAAATCCATACACTGTTGTAGACAAATCGGAAAAATAAGGAATATCTATCTACGCCGTGACCATCAAAACTGCAATTATACTGACATCCATCAGCATGAGCAGCGCGATTCTCTCAAGAGCCTTGGCTTTCTCTACTACTACTACATTATTAATTTCGGAATAGATTATACATATACAAATGACATTCAAATGGCATACATTTAAGACATTTGTCATTGCAAACACTGGCCATTTTATTAGGGTTTCATAGAGGAGGACTGCAAACAGCCCTACGAATTTGTGCGCTAATTTGGTATACGAGAAGGTAAAATTTGTCTCCCAATCTCCAAATAGTTTTGTAATATTTTACTCAACGTTTTCTTGTTGTTGTTGTTGTTTTTTTTTTTTTTTTTTCGTTGGTTTATATTTTTTGTTTTTTCGTTGTTATTAGTTTTTCTTTGCAATTCTTAAGATGTGTCTTTAAAGACGTGCTAGATAACTATCTGMGGTCGGTTCAAATTCGAAAGGCTGACTGGCCTTATGTTCCCGATAAAATCGGACTTATCCATAAAAAGTATAGTCAGAGTAGATACGTTTGTCCAGTTAAACTCTAAAATTTTGAAAGGTCGAAAGACCATCAATTTTTATAAACAAGATAAAAGTTTTTTATTGTTTGTTAGAAGTCCTGCATGCAACTCACCCCTGRTTATTATATTTTTTCATTGTAAGACACAATAAACGCATGATGTATCTATATTCTACACACAAAAGTAAAAATAATTAATTATTAAAAATTTAATTAAAACTTTCGGTATAACGAAACGCTTGTTGTTTTACATTGAGAATATGTGTCAATATATACTGATAACAAAAAATTGTCGCTGGTTGAACATTAATAATTATWAATAAAGAATTAATAATTATGGTAAAGTTGCTAGATCCCAAGAAAGTTACAAGACGTCAGTTTTATTGTATTAATTTTTCATGAATGGTCTTAGCTCAAGCCAGTTGAATTTATGTTTTAATTACACTGCTGCTTAAAATGCTGAGCTATATCGCATACAAATTAGTGAATAAACCCTTCCTGCGGCTGGGATATCGGCTGATAATGTCCGAGGATGAGAAATGGTCCAAAAAAAACGACAATTTAGCTGAGAAGCGAAGCTTCGAGGGCAAATGTGATATTTTGGGGTCCATTTCTCGTCCGATGACATTATTATAAGCCGATATCCCAGTGGGCCAAGAAGGGGTTTATGTAATGTTTAAAGGCAATTGTAAAGGCCTCCAATTCGGACTTGACGGGGTTTCAAAGTCCGCGCAATTAGTCCTTGCAACTAATTGAAAGGACTTTGAAATCCCGTCAAGTCCGAATTGGAGGCCTTTGAACGACTTCAAAAACTCATTAATTATTCGGGAGGGGAAAAAAGCGAAGGAAAGACATATAACAGAAATATATTGATTTATTGCATCTCCACTAAGGTTTTCAGTTTGTTGTTCGTTTGTTGTTCTTCAATTCCCGAACGGCTTTCTGAAACAAAAGCTATTCAAATTGTCTTTGTCTACTATTCATGGCATTCCTAATGAGCCCAATCCATAAGATTTATAAGTATGTTATCTTCCGAGGAATCGCATCAGAA